CAACCTCCATGCGTTCACGTTCATCGGCAGCAGTATGGGGACACTGCGCAGTCTTTGCTATCAGAACGAATGAAGCCCTAACCGAGGGATACACGATTAAACCCACTCCTGGTACTCTCAGCCCGTGAACTGTAAACTCCGAAGATGTTAACCCTGTGCTCCACATAAGAGTGGCCGCATGGAGGGTGCCTTGCACGTAAACTACTTTATAGTGCTAGTAGACTTTGGCAACATCTACTGTACTCTCTCTACTTGGGCACGGTGTCAAATGGACCGGAGGCTGGACCGGGCACATGTGGTTGGCGCGGCGCGAACTTGCGCCTGGGTGTGACACCAAACTCCCTCATGTGTGTTGTTCGTTATTGGTGTGCGTGGGCTGGAGCGGGATGAATTGGGACGGGAGTTTTTGCTTTTTTGGTTATTTCGACCGGCAATTTGATGTCTGCGAACCACGGTTAGCTTTCAGATGACTTCATTCCAGTATTTGTTTAGGGCATCCTTTCTGTCCCCTCCCCATTAGGGAGTGAGCAGTGCTGTCTCTATATAGGGCTGTTTAGACATCCCAGCCAGCTCCCAACCTTCACTGTGTGTCACGACTTAGCCTTGACCGCCTACGGAACTGTTTGTCGCCTTCTCCGTGCGTACAAGCCAGTACCCCTGTCATGTGTCTGCATGTCATTTGTGAGGCCTCCTTTTATCTCGTATCTTAGTAGGGGAACAGTTCCTAGAGCAAGCCTCCTTGTCATCTCGATGTAACCTTTTCTTAGTTCCAACCGGCTAAACTTCAAACTCAACTACTTCACTAATGTCTGCTTGCAGATTGTTCACGAATTGTTGGCTTATGGAAATTTGGAAGGGCTAAAATGCCTGGTAGACATTTAAGCGCATATGCTATTGGTCGAACTGTCTAACCACTTCACTATCTGAATATCAAATTACTGCAGCTACGTTAAAAGCCTGCCTAGTATACAACTAAATTTCAAACTGGTGTGAGAACTTGCTTAATTGTATTCGGTACAACTGTTATCAGACCTAATGTAGTCGGCCTCGACGCTGCCCCAAATGTTGTCTCTCCGTGGCGATCCAGTTTCGTTTCCCGCAACGGAGACCCAACGCAGTTACAAGAACCCTTCCTATGTATGCGCACACGGTTTTGAGTCAAGTCATCTACTTTAACGCCTCCAGATGGTCAGTGGCACCGCCGTGAGAGCAGAAATACTGAGATGTGGATGCGGATTAAGCATACCACAATCATTCTTATTACCGTATTTTGTGGATGGCCTGATACGTCCTCGATATGTCTCGTATCACCGAATTCTGAC